GCAGAGGAGGATCTCAGAACACAGCAGCTAAGAGTTACTAACGTGCTGAAAGGGTCTGGACGCAGAGGTTTTGACCAGGCCCTGGCTGGCATGGCTAAATCTGGCCAACGTCATTTTAGGCAAAAACACTGACATTAGTCAGGGTCGCCCGGAACATGTCTCTCTGTGCCAGGCTCCAGCGAGCCGGCCTCTCAATGTCTTACAAAATACAGATCCCGTGGAATGGTATTTGAAGAGACAATACAAAAGAGCGAACACAGCCGGGAGGCACCAGGCTTTTTAATAAAGCAGAGGCAGAGAGAGAAACTGGCAAATAAGCAGCTTTGTAAGGAAATACATCTCAATAATGCCGAGCCACACCTGTCCTGGCTGCTGGGTGAGGGGCCGACGGCCACGCTGCATGCAGACCGAGCTGGCGAGGGCAGACAGGGCCGCCCGCACGCTCACCGCGCACAAACCGCTACGCTCAGCTCTAGCTTTAGACATGACAGCGGGAAGCACAGAACTGAAAGCCACGTGGCCACAATTGCAAGCATTCCACTCTGTGTCATTTTAAAACAGCCCGACTTCCACCCAAACACCTGGACAAGAGACACTCCCTGTGTGAAGGCCTCACGCGTCACATCACATCTGATCCTCCCATGTCGGCTCAAGCCCCGGAGGAGTTGTTCATCCTAAAATTCCTACGTTCGCCAAGACAAGGCGCTAACGCCGGAACTCCCACACGCACAGGGCACGGGGAATCTAACTCCCTCGGGAAAGACTGCTCGCCCTGGCCAGACAGCACCGTGCGGGGCACGCCCTCTGATGGGCACATACCTGGGGGTGGGCCTGCTGGCTGCCGGGGCAGGTGCCAGGACGTGGCATGCTCAGGCCCCTCTGGGCCCACTGGTGCCGCTGCACCTCCGATCCTGCTGCAGCCGGCTCTCGCGCCGTGACCGGCACTGCCTGGCCTCTGTGCCGCCTGCCCGTGTGCCTTCCGGCCACTCTCACCATAAGCCGAGCCGTCTCTGCCTGGCTGTGGGCAGGAGTCTTTACCCGCTATGGCTCTGAGGCCTGCCAGCTTCCGCAATGCAATTACCTTCTCATAGGTTTTTCTCTCACGGTTAGTGCTTCTCCGTTACAATTCTCCCATTGTTTTAAAAGTCTTCAGCCCTGTTCTTCTGACTCCTCACATAAGCTTTTTGGTGTTCCCCTTCACATTGAGGTCTAGGATTGGTCCTGAATTAACGTTTGTGAAAGGATTGAGGTATGGGTGATGAGTCTTTTCCATTAAGGATTTTTAAAAAATCCTTACCCGAGGATATGTGTTTTTTTGTTTTGTTTTTTTATTTTTTACAGAGAGAAAGGGAGAGAGATAGAGAGCTAGAAACGTCGATGAGAGAGAAACATCGACCAGCCACCTCCTGCACACCCCCCACTGGGGATGTGCCTGCAACCCAGGTACATGCCCTTGACCGAAATTGAACCCGAGACCTTTCAGTCCGCAGACCGACGCTCTACCACTGAGCCAAACCGGTTTCAGTCCGAGGATATGTTTTTATTGATTTTAGAGTAAGAGGAAGGGAGAGAAACATCAACTGGTCACTTCCCATACGCGCCCCAACTGGGGATCAAACCCCCAACCTGGACATGTGCCCTGACTGGGGATCGAACCCACCAACTTTGGGTGTATGGGATGATGTTCCAGCCACTGAGCCACCCGGCCAGGCCCAGCATACACTTTTAACTAGTCTCACACTATTGATGGGAAAAACCTGTCCTTTCCTCGCCAAACCACACTGGCACCCATTTGTGTTGCTGTGCACCTGTGTGCGGGCTCACCGTTCTGTTCTGTGACATCACCACCACCATCATCATCACCATGGGAGCTTTCACACTGACTCGGCACCACCAAGAGGGGCATTTACACCTCTCTCTGAGGGAGCAAGAGTTACAATAGGGTCTCAGTACAACAAGATCTATTTGTTGAGAAACTACACGGTGGGACAGAGGCTAGAGCTCAGAGGGCTCAGCGAGGTGCTCAGACTATGAGAAGTGGCAGAACCAGGTCTGTCTGCTCCTGAGATGATGCTGTGGACACCATGCTATCTAACTCTGGAGAAAGAGAGTCTGCTTATTATTCCCACAAACCGTTCCATTGCTGTCTGCAATACGAACAACAACAACAAAAACGTAAAAAAAAAAAAAAAAAAAAAAAGGAAGGAAGGAAAAAGAAGAAAGAAAATAACAGAAAAAAAACAAAACCCTGTTTTGGACTCTCCTTCTGTCCCTGTCCCCTCCCCCTCCGATAAAAACAACATAAAAAAAGCCACATCAAGGATGCTGATCAAAACAGATCGAAAAAAGAAGGAAAGGAAAACAATTCAAATAAAGCTCAGCTGTTTCTGTTTGGAAACAACAACAAAAGTCCCCTCGCCACAAACCTGACCAACAGGACGGCCTCCGCGGCCGGAGCTGGAACTTTCCGATGGCATCCGCCTGTGTCATTACTGGGACCCACAGCGCCGGGAGCGAACAGCTGGCCGCTGGCTCGTGGCGCGAAGCAGGAGCCCTGGGCTCTCACCCGCCGGCCACCCTGGGGACGATGTCTTCCCGACACTGGGAATCCCTCAGCCTCGAACTGCCCCGCCGGGGTCAGTGCCTCCCAGCCGGTCGCCAGCGAGACAACCTCTCTGACATGCAGCCTGGAGTCCCCGGTCCCCGCGGGTGGACCAGTCAGCCCTGTGGGGGGGCCAGAGGCCGCACAAGCCCTCCCCTCCCAGCGAGGAGGCTGATGGGATGGCCGATGACCCGGATGACCCGAGAAGGGAGGTACTGTTATTAACTGGTATCAACACCAGAACTGCTCCGAGTCTAAGCACACCCAAACATCTATTGCCTTTTAACATAAACGATTGAAATTAAAATTCACTAAGAGCTTGCCTGTTGTTAATCATCTAAAGAGGTTAAACCAAACAAATCTGAAAAAGTATCATTGCCAAGCCGTGCTTAATGAAGTGACAACAGAAACAACTCTTGGGAGAAACTTCTTTTGGCAAAACACACACATGCACACGTCACCATGCCGCTATGCCATGTCCATTCCTCCTTTTACCGCCAGAAACAGCGTGGCGAGGGCTCCCAGGCTTCCGGCCGTGGCCCCTGGACCATGGAAGTGTCCCCGCTGGCCAGGACAGGTGGCTGGGCGGAGGGAGGAAGTCTCACCGGACGTGTGAGCTTGGGACGTTGGTAAGACACAGGCCCAATGGTAGCGGGGAGCTGGGTACACGCCTGACACTCAGTAGCGAAGCCTGTCTGGAGGTTACATTCAAGTGACACTATGAAAGCCAGGAGAATGCTCAGAGCACCGTCTCCCCATCGCCAGGTTCCCACGGCTCCAGCCACGGTCACTTCCTGCCCGGATGATGGCACAGCCCCTGCAGTTCTGTCACTCCTCGGCCCAGAAGCGCCCGCACCTCCAGGGGCTGGGGCCGTGAGGCCAGCGGCTAGGAAGCAGCACACGGCACACACCTAGCTCAAACCCACCTGACCGTTAGGGCGAGTGGCCGGGGCTCGCAGTGCAGTGCTCGTCTGCGAAGGGCAGGTGAGACAGGGAGTAAGGAGGGGAAGCGTGCAAATGCTCAGCAGGGCCCGCTGAGGTTCCTGAAGGAGCTGAGGGAGGAGGGAGGGAGGAGGGAGGAGGGAGGAGGGATGGAGGATCTGCGCAGCCGGGCGGAGACCTGCGCAGGAGCCCCGGGAGCTGGCGTGCTGTGGGCAATAGCCTCCCGCCAGCGGGTCTTGGCTGAAGCTCCAGGCCATGAGACGAAGCTGCTCACGAGAAGGGCGGTCTGGGCCAGAGGAGTGAGCCTGGCAAAGTGCTTCTCTGTCAGAAGCCGCTTCCCTGCGCCTGCTCGTTGCCTGCTCCCTGGCGGACAGCGGCCCTCCCCTCCCGGCCTGGAGCGAGCCGAGCGGGAGCTCTGCAGTGAGCGTGGCCGGAGCCCCAGTCCCTGCTCGTCGCTCGACGGAGCCAGCTGCTCGCCCCGAGCGAGAGGCCCTGGGCCTGTCTCCCTGCGGAGCGATGGCTAATCAGACAAACGACAGTTCTTTAGCACAAGCAAGCATTTTTCGTCCACTTACTATGAAACATGTGATTTCCATCAGCTCCTTTTCTGTTCTTTTTTTAAATATATTTTTACTGATGTCAGAGAGGGAAGGAGAGGGAGAGAATCCATGATGAGAGAGAATCATGGATCGGGCTGCCTCCTGCATACCCCCTACTAGGGATGGAGTCCACAACCTGGGCATGTGCCCTTGAACGGAATTGAACCCGGGACCCTTTAATCCACAGGCCCATGCTGTATCCACTGAGCCAAACCAGCTAGGGGTCCTTTTTTATTCTTGACAGAAACCACTGTGCGCGGTTTTACTTTAAATTTAAAATGCCTTCCCCCCATCTCCTCCATCCTCGGACAGCCCCTCACTGTCCCCTGGGGTTCCACTCTCCAGTCCCCCCAGCAGCCCGTCTGCCCTCCCCCCGCTGTCAGTGCCAGGCCGTGCAGAGAAGGGCCAGGACGGGGCTGCGTGCGGCTCTCACCAGGAAAGCTCCAGAAATTGGTTTCTCTCTCAAACCGAAACAGCGGCACGGGTCTGGGGTTCCTCACTGCACCAGACCTGCTTCCTATAGCGCCGCTCCTTGGGGACACGAGTGCCAGACACCCCGGAACACACCTGGACTAGAGGTGAGGACAAGAGCCAGGCCGCAGTGCGGTCACAGAGGGCCGCAGGACAGGACTTGCCAAAACGAGAGCTCGGTGCCACCGCGGCGTCTCCCTGTGACTCCCGGCCGCCACCTGCACGGGCTGCCCAGGCCCAGGCCAGCCGCCGAGAAGGGCTTCCTTCTCAGGAAAAGCCAGCGGGCGAGCAGGCAGCTCCTCAGCCAAGGAGCGGCAGGGCGGGCGGGCGGGCGGGCACACCGAGGCGCGGGCTGCGGCCTGCGCGGGGCTCCCACGCAAGGATACAGGGGTTGCTGTCGTCCGGGCGGCAGCTGTCCAGGATCAGGGGGATGGCGTCCAGCTCGTTGACCTGCAGAGAGGAGAGCACAGAGTTACACACGGAGTTACACCTGCAGCAGCCGGAGCGCCGGGTCACGGGATCTGTCTGTCCGTTTTCTTTCCCTGCTCGTCGCTCTGCTGTCTGCAGGGAGCACGTGAACAAAGTGGAACTCTTCCTTCCCCTCCTCAGAAACGCGGGGGCCTGGGAGCCCGCAAACAGGAGGAGAGCAGATCAGGACGACGCCAGCGGGGCCTGAGGTCACGCGGTTCACTAGCCGAGCGAGCGCGGCCCTTTCCTAGGTTCGGAGCAGGAAAAGCTTCTCGAACTGGATTCAAAAGCCAGAAGCCGCAGCAACAAGTTTGACTGGGTTTTTTAAGAGGGCAAATGGAAACTGGAAAAATGATTCGTAAGCTATCATAGGCAAAGGTTTACTATTTTAATACATAAAGAACTTCTAAAAATTGAGAAAAGACCAACAATCCAAAAGAAAAATGGATGAAATACATGAACAGAAACGACCCTGAGGAAAAAAAGAAAAGAAAAACAGGCGGACCATAAAGATACCAGAATATGCTCAGCTGCCGTCAGAGGAAGGCATGCTCCTGCCCAGGCCCAGCTGCTGTGACACCAACTGTGGGAGGGACAGGGACAGGGCCAGGGCCAGGCACCCGGAGGGGCCCGGGAGACAGCACAACGTATGTTTTATTGGGACTATAATCCTCATACCAGAAAAGGCACCTTTTAATCCAGGGGACTTAGTATGTTCACCAAGCGTGTCGCCGTCACCTCTCTCTAGCTTTCCCATCCACACCCACAGCAGCCATCTCTCCCCCTCCAGTCCGTCTTCAGATGTGCAGGACCTGGAGGATTCACGCCATCGGAACCACAGCGCGTGGCCTCCTGAGTCCCTGCCACTGAGCACAGCATCTGAGTCCTCGGGAGGTGGCGGGCGGAGTGCTCCGTCCCGGGATGGCTGAACCACATGCCCCTGGTGCTGTGGCTGCACCACATCCTGGCGACGGGCACTGAGCTGTTTCCACCACCTGGGTGTGACGGTGTTGGTGAACGCCCGGTACGTGGTCCTGAGCGGACAGGCGCGCTTCCTTCCCCTGGCGATGTAGCTGGCAGCAGCAGCATCGCTAGGTTTTTAGGAAGCTCTGCAGGAAACATTCTGAGGACCTGCCAGACTCTTCCCAAGTGGCTGCCCGTGCCCACCCCCCTCCTCGGGAACAGCTGCTGTGGCCTGTCTGCCGGGGTAGCCGGCCTGGGAGTGAGGTGGATGTCACTGCGGTCCATGTGCACGTCCCTGATGGCTACTCACCAGGTGGGAGTGCCGGCCATCGGGCAATGACCAGTACCGTGGAGACGCCTCAGCCGCCGCAGCCCTGCTGGCCAATAAGCTAGGGAGAGATACAGAGGACGCCAGGGAGCTGGGCAGCGCACGGAGGTCACTGCGTCTGCGAAGGGGTGGCTGGTCATGAGAGCATGCGAGAGAGCAGGTGCAGGGAGGGAAGTGCGAAGCTCCGCTGTCACCTGGAGGCACAATAAGCACGTGTTCTTGCATCCAAACACCACAGCGGCTAAGCGAAAGCAGGGTACCCAGCGCGGAGGAGAGGACGGAAGACACAGATGGAGGCAGCCTCTGTGGGTGCCCTGCGTGTGCACTTCTGGCTTTGGAATCCTGGGTGTGTTTTACATAGTTTTTAAAAATCAAACTTCCAGCTAGAAAAACAAGTTAATCTGACGACATATGAAAGGAAGAAAACTTGCTTCACAGGATTAGGCTGGTACTGACTTCACATCTCAGTGAGATGCGCCCTGAGCTCACGGACCCCACGGGACCTTCCATGCACTCGGCCTCTGAGCAGGCCGCGGCGGCACTGCTGTCTGGATCGTTTTTTATTTTTTAAATTTTAAATAAATCTTTATTGTTCATATTATTACAAATGTTCCTCACTTTCCCCCCCCTCCTTTACTCCCCTCCACCAGGTTCCCACGCCACCCTCTGCCCTTTCCCCACCCCCCATTGTCCTCATCCATAGGTGCACAGTTTATGTTCAGTCTATTTCTGCACCCCCCCACTCCCCTTTCCCCCCGAGAATCGTCAGTCCACTCCCCTTCCATACCTCTGATTCTATTATATTCACCAGTTAATATTGTTCATCAGATTTTTTAATTCCCTTGGTTTTTAGATTCACTTGTTGATAGTTACGTATTTGTTCTTAATTTTTATCTTTATTTTCTTCTTCTTCTTAAAGAACCCCCTTCAGCAATTCATTTAATTCTGGTTTGGTGGTGATGAACTCTTTTAGCTTTTTTTTATTTGTGAAGCTCTTTATCTGGCCTTCGATTCTGAGTGATAGCTTTGCTGGGTAGAGTATTTTTGGCCGTAGGTTCTTGCTATTCATCACCTTGAATATTTCTTGCCATTCTCGTCTGGCCTGCATGATTTCTGTTGAGAAATCAGCTGACAATCATATGGGTGCTCCTTTATAGGTCACTACCTGCTTTGCTCTTGCTGCTTTTAATATTCTCTGTCTTTTGCTCTGGGAATTTTAATTATGATTTGTATTGGTGTGGTCCTCTTTGGATTCCTCTTGTTTGGGGTTCTGTGCGCTTCCTGGACTTGTAAGTCTAATTCTTTCACCAGGTGGGGGAAGCTTTCTGTCACTATTTCTTCCAATATGTTTTCGATATCTTGCTCTCTCTCTTCTTCTGGGACCCCCATAATTCTGATGTTGGTTTGCTTGAAGTTGTCCCAGAGGTTTCTTACATTATTTTCAACTTTCTGGATTCTCTTTTCTTCTTGCTTCTGCGGAGGAGTGTCTTCTGGGTCTTTATGTTCCAAATCTTTGACTTTTTTTTTTTTAAATTATTATCTGTGTACATATTTTACCATTGGCCTCCCCTCTCCACCCACCAAATCTTTGACTTGATTCTTGTGATATTCCATTCTGTTTTTAGGACTCTATAATATTTCTTATTTCAGACACTGTATTCTTTTATTTTTTTATTTTATTGATTTTTTACAGAGAGGAAGAGAGGGATAGAGAGTTAGAAACATCAATGAGAATCATCGATCAGCCGCCTCCTGCACACCTTCTACCGGGGATGTGCCCGCAACCAATGTATATGCCCCTGACTAGAATCGAACCTGGGACCTTTCAGTCCGCAGGCCGATGCTCTATCCACTGAGCCAAACCGGTTTTGGCCAGACACTGTATTCTTTATTTCTAGTTGATCCCTTTTTATTTCTAGTTGATCCCTTTTCATATCCTCAGAAGTCTCGCTTATTTTATCAGCCTTTTGTAGGAAATTCTTAAAAAAAAACTTATAAGTGTGGTTTTAAACTCTATATCCAGTTGTCTGTTGTCCTCCATTTCTTTCGTTTGTGATTGTTTCCTTGTCTCCGTATTTTCGCAGCTTCCCTGAGTTGGTAGGGTGGCTTTGTGTGCTAAGGTATCCTATATGGTTCAATGGGTCAGCCACCCAGTTACCTGAAATGGACGCTCTTGGTGCACCCCTTTGTGGACTGTGTATAGCCTTATTGTAATCTTGATTGTTGTTGGTATCGCTGGGAGGAACTGACCTCCAGGCCAATCGGTTGTGAGGATCAGCTGTGTCTATGCCAGGAGACAGCCTTATTCGACTAGACTTGCAAAATTGCAAAAGCCTCTGTGCTCAGCTTGGATGGGGCAGAGTTTCAGGGTGGAGCCTACAACCTTGGCTTCCTGTCAGCCCCGCCTTATGAGTTCCTGAGTCTCATGTTCCTCAGTGTCCTTCGGTACTTGCTGCAAGCACCTCTGAAAGATGCTCTCGAGTTTCACACACTACCAGACAGTCTAGGCTCTCCCCCAATGAGCCCGGAACTAGGGTTCAATGCAGTTGGAAGTGGGGTTGGAAGTAGGATTCAGTGCAGCCCGGAGCTTTTGTCTCCTTCCCGCTAGGGCAATCCAGTGGCACAGTCTACAGTCCATCCTCTGTGCGCAATGTGTGCAACTCGGGGGCTCTGCCTTTCGCCATTCCCTGAGTTTCCGCCTTACAGCCTAGAATCCCTCTGTATGAGCCTGGGTCCCCAGGGTCTCGCCCAGAACTGGGATTCAGTGCAGTCGGAACTGGGGCTCAGCACAGTCCGGAGCTTTATCTCCTTCCCGCTAGGGAATGCCAGCCAGGCACTCAGCCACCCCTCCTCTCCGGCTCCGTCCTCTCCCCACGTGCGCTCCGTGTCTCCGTACCTTGGGCTTTTCCAGCTCCTCTGATTTTCCTTCTGGTTTTCTCTTTCCTTCTAGTTGTAGAATTTCCAGTCAGTCAACTTTCCTCTAGTTCTGGAAATGTCCATTTTGTATATTAGTTGTATTTTTTTGAAATTGTTGTATGAGGCTGCAGTTAGGTGTTTACCTATGCCGCCATCTTGGTTTCTCTCTGGACCGTTATTTCTATGTTCAGGCTAAAGCAGCGGGCAATTCATCATTAGGAACCAAGCTTTTCAGCATAGAAAAGTTAATTTTACATTTCAATTAGAAACGGTTAGCATGTATTCATGAGACATTTTTTTTTCTCCCTAAAAGCATTTGCTCCCGAGCTGTCACTCCCCTCTGAAAGGCCCAGAAGCCGACAAGCACCAGCTGCACGGTCACAGAGCCCTTGTCCCGGAGGCCAGCTCTCCAGGGCCTGTGCGCAACCTGCCGGCGGGTCCGCCGGAGCACCGAGGGGACACACCACTTCCTGCCGCTCCTGGAGCACCGAGGCGGGGGGGGGGGGGGGGGGGGGGGACAAAGGTCTGCAACAGGCACTGCGGGTGCTCGGGATGACAACCCGGGCATCCCTGGCTCCACGCACAGACCGGAAGTGAGCCTCCCTGACGAGCGCTTCCGGGCCACGTACCAGTGAGAGTCACTGGACCCCTCAGACTTAGTTTTCTCATCTGTAAAATGGAGACGACAGGGCCATTCCAAGGGTGACTGCGTACAGCTGGCACACAGGGACTTCCCGTGGTGGCATGGGAGTGATGGTGACAGTCGGCAGCGTCC